ATCATCAAACATCCTATGTAAAAACTCCTGAACAAAATGTTACTATTAAATGTAAGCATCAACATATTTTAAATGTAGCTAGAGCTCTTCTCTTTCAAGCAAGCTTACCACTCCAATTTCGGCCATATAGTGTATCATATGCAATTCACCTCATAAACCGCATATCAAATCCCATTTTAAACAATCGAACTCCATATGAAGTTCTGTATGGAACACCTCCAATTCTTATTGATCTAAAAGTGTTTGGTTGCTTATGTTTATCCAGTACCTTATTGAGCCACAAATCAAAGTTTTCTCCTCGTGCTTCAAAATGTGTCTTTCTTGGCTATAAGGAGGGCACAAAAGGGTATGTTGTTCTTGAACTTACCTCACATAAGATTCTGGTTTCCCGAATATTTTTCATGAATTTCAGTTTCCTTTTTCTAATTCCAATGTTACTTCTGCTGACAATTTTGTATATCCTGTTCATTCTAATGTTGATATCTTCACATTGTCTCCACATTATACTGATATGATACTACCTGTAAATCATCCTCACACACCTGAACCATCTAATCACATCCAAAATGATTATGTCACCCTTCCTAATCAAAATATCACAAGACCTTCACGTATACGTTGTCATCCATCTTATCTTCCGGACTATTACTACAATCTATCCTCTTCCAAAGTTGTGGCAACATATTCCTCAGGTATGACTTCTAATCACACAACCCCTTATCTCATTTCTTCAGTTATGTCATTTGACCATTGCTAACCTACATATACCAAGTATTGTCTTAACATTAGTAGCATAGTAGAACCCAAGACATATACAGAAGCAGCTAAACATGAATGCTGGCGTCAGGCTATGGATGCTGAAATCTTGGATTTAGAGATGAACAAAACATGGTTGCCAACTGATCTACCTCATGGTAAACAACCCATTGGCTGCAAATGGGTTTACAAAATCAAGCATAAAACAGATGTCAGCATAGAAAGGTATAAAGCAAGGCTTGTAGCAAAGGGTTATACACAACTTGAAGGTGTTAACTTCTTCGACACATACTCCAGCTTACCACTATCTGTATTCTACTCACCATTGTTGCAGCTAAAAAATGGCACTTGGAGCAGTTGGACGTCAACAACGCCTGTCTTCATGGAGAGTTACATGAAGAAGTATACATGACTCTTCCTCCTGGCATTTTTAGTTGATTAATCTCATGTTTTTTTTATATATTTTCATTTTAATTGTGATATATTTGTGGTTCAAACTTTTCTTTAAAAATTGATTATCACCTTTTTTTATATATATAAACGACGTTAAAAAAAGTTGTGATAACTTGTTCATCCTATAGTTTTATTTAGGTCATTTTGGCTGCGACGGACTGATAATTCAAAATTCTTAAATTTAATTAATAGAAATTATAAAAAAAAATTCAGAAGTAATTTCAAAATTAAAATTAACCAACACATAGTTTCTAAAGAATAATGTAGCTTTGATGTTTCTTTTGCACCAAAGGATACATACATCAAAGCGAGATTTTTTCTGACAAGTCCAAGAATAAATATTAACATCAACAACACATTTAACCCAATCTAATTGGGATCGGTGGTAGATGAATTCAATGATAAATAAAAAGTGATTAAAAAATAAAATAAAATAAAATAAAATAATAATAGTAGTAATGATAAATAAATAAATAAAAATAAAAATAAAAATAAAAAATAAAAAAATTAGGGAAGGGGGAAATAAGATAAAAGACAAGAAGACGAAAAGAAAAAGAGGGGGATTGAAGAAAAAAAGGACTAAGAAGAGACCATATGAAACATAAGAATAACAACAAGTTTAACCTTCTACCCTACTTATAGTTTTCTCTATTCAGTCCTAAGACACACCATCCGTCAATCTATCCCACTTCATTAAGTCTTGTTTAATTACATTTCCCCAGGTAAGTTTAGGTCTACTTCTACCTCTCTTTGTGTCGAGCTCTTGATAACAAACTTTTATTTTTACAAGAGCATCCAAGGGCCGTCTCATTACATGCCCAAACCACCTCAATCTATGTTCCCTCATCTTTTCAGTTACCGGTACTACTTCTACCTCAAAAATAAAATAGAATTTTAAAATATATTTTTCTTTATAAATAATAGCTATTATTTTTTTAATTATTTGAGGTACAAAAAATATATTAAAAATTTATTAATGATTCCTAAAATTAATTTAAAGGTAACCATATTTAGAATAGATTATGTAGATTGCTAATATTTTTCCTAATCATACTCGAAGCCCAAATTCATTCGCTTTCAAAGATAAGATTTTTTTCAATTAAAGGATTTTTTAAAATATTTTATGAAATAAATTTTAGTGGTGACTATTTTTTTTTCGCTTTTAGGTTGCAATAAATATCATGAATTTTTTCTTTTTTATTTCTGAGATAAGATAAAAATTAATTATTTAATAATAATTTTTAATAAATATGTCTATAATGATAAAAATTATTGAAAAGAATATATCATTCATATAATATTTATTTATATATGTATTGAGAATTAAAAATTATAATTGAAATTGATATGTTGGTATGATAATTTTTAAATCAAAATTTTAAATTTTTATATAGTTGCATATATATATATATATATATATACTCTAATAGAGATTATAAATAAGGATTTTACTCTTCTGAATTGAACGTGCACTGTAAAAGAAAAAGCTTATAATTATAATAATTTGATTAAAGAAAATAAATCTTGACAACTTTTCATTGTATAAACTCATATATTATTCTGTCACAATCGTAACAATTAATTTTTAATCAATGATTATAATTTTTGAACTGTTAGTATGATGAGAGAATCACATATGTAACTCCAACGGATGTGAGAATCGTTATAAGGGGTCATAGACAACAATGATATGTACTAAAGCTAGGCAAGGAGGTCCCATCAATGATTATCATATTTTTTTTTTTTTACATGAGATGATCCATTTTCTATCTAAGAAGGGGTATTTATAGTTAAGATTGAACTCCATCCAAATGAAGGAGTGAGTCAAGTCAACTATTAGGGTGAGAGACATAACAACCCACTTTACTTGGGCAAGGTGTTGTGCAACTGCTGTCAACATTGCTGCGGTTGCAATATAAGGAAAAGTATAAAAAGAAAAATATTTTGATACCTATGCAAAGAAAGGAGACAAAAGGACATATCAAGTAGGACATTTCAATGTCCTATGTAGGGAAGTCTATGATTCACGCAAAGATAAAGAAATAGAGAAAATGGATTATTTGTGTGTCACCCTTCCGAGAAATATATGTATATGTAAGATTCTATTTCTATTATAGAATAAAATCTTTTAGAAAATATATTTCTTTATATAACAATCTATATCTTATTCATATGATAAATATAGTAATAATTTAAATAGACAAAAAAAAAACTCCTTTTTTTGCAAAAAAGTGTATTTTTAGGATAGGAATCAAAAATCATGCCATATGGATGTTGGTACGACAGCATTGCAATGCTTCTTATGCTGTGGTGTTGGATGTAGCAGGGGTAGTATGGGTCCTCCGGTGTTGGGCCAGTCATATTGGATTGGTCAGAACAATTTTGTAATTTTTGTATTAAAATATATTTCCTAATTTGTGAGAGATATATTCTAATGTGAACACAGCAAAACAGTCGACATTCCTAGCTTAGGATGAGTATTGTGGTTAACTGTTAAAAACTTAAAAAGTTGTTGCTTCTTTCAAACTTCAAAGTTTGAGGAGAAATCTTGTAATGCTCCGGAGCACTTTTCAACCGGTGGGACGAAGGTGAGAGAGATCACGTGGCATCTCCTGAACGGAAGAACCATAGTGGTCCTAGATCACTTTAAATTTTTTCCAGTTTGAGGTGGTGCCCCTCTCTGACTCTGACCGTGTGTATATATCAATATAAGTTGCGTTATCAAACCCATTCAAAACAAATTCCTCGCATTTTGATGACATTGCGCAGTCGACCTAGCACAAGATGGAATAAGAGAGATTGAACCTGGCGTGTCCAGTAATTAATATATAAGTTAATAAATATGCCAATACTATATTCAGTTAATACGTCAAGTCAATTACAGCAAAGTTCGCACAAAAATCTCTGAACATGCCAACGGTCAGACACATTAGTTTATAAAATATATATATTTTTCCTCCAATTTTTTTTTTTACAAGAATGTAAACAATCATTAATATTTTAGTTAAAACATGAAGAGATATCAATTAAAATTAATTTTTTTAAATGACAAATAAAATAAAATAAATTCCTTCAACTAAAATGATTAATATATTGTTGTACTAAAAAAAATATTATAACAATTAATTAGGGTTATTACCAATCAATTTACTGTTAAATCAATTATGTTGATCCAATGATTATATTTATTTTTATCTTTATATTATTATGGTTATTCATATTTAATATTTTATATTTTTTTTTTATTTTTGTACGGTTAGAATTTAAATATGCTTAATATTTTCAATAAAAAAATGATTAATATTTTAAAACGGTGAGATTAACTAATAAAGGAGATAAGATTTTAACTAGAGAGAGATAAGATTTGACTGCAGCGAAGGGGAGAGATAGAGTAATAGCCTATTTGGATCCTCTCTTTTTAAGCTAGAAGTTACCTATAAACTAAAGTTAAAAAAGAGAACTTAAAAAAAGAAGAAGCTAAAAGTTGTTTGGTAATCACATAAATTTTTTAGCTTAAAAGTTAATTCACATATTTCAAGAAGATTATCTCTCTCTATCTTTATAACTCTTTCTTAAAAAAAATACACAATTAAAGAAAAGCAGATAAGAGCTTAAAAAAAAGTTCTTCCTATAAGCTTTTAATTTTGAGTTTTTTTTCATTATAATTTTTTTTTTTCATTATAAGAGTTTTTTTCAGAACCTGTTTGACTCAGCTTATGTTTATAAGTAGTTCTAGTTAAAAAACAATCCAAACACACACTAAGTTTATTCGGTAGTCAGAAGCAGGTTTGAATATGTCGAAGTCCTTTGCGTTTGCGATGCGTGCATATATTAAACATCATTGCCAATTGGTCACAATGTCAATGTCAATGAGAATGACAGCACTCGACGCACTCTTCTTCTTCTTCAATCCTAGCTCACAACAACAACATCAACAAATCTCAGATCAGAGCCTTCTCCTGCTAGGTTTGTGCTCTGCAACTGAAACAACTTCCAACTTCTTTTCGCTTTTGCATATTCTTCTTCGTGAATCGCTAAATGATGCAATTCGAATTTGTTTGTTTGTTTGTTTTTTTCATTGGATTCAAATCGGAACAGAAAAGAAAGTCTTGTGTGTGTTTCGTGATCTCTAAAGATGGGGAAAAAGCGTGTAATGGTGCCGGCCAAGGACGTTGACTTGTCCTCTATCAAATACGAACCTCATATTTTCCAAGGTAATTCCACTCACTTGTTTCTTCTGTAACCAAAATTCACTCAAGTTGGATTTTCCAATTTATACTAGTAATATTTGATTCTATTTTATTGTTTTACTTTTTTTTGCAGCTCCGCATTTGACTGGCTTTATGTTTAGATTGTTTGTGAAGCTACTAGAAGCCCCACTCATAGGTCCTCTCATTGTGAATTCTTTGAAGAAAGAAAATAAATTTGATGAGGTGTGTCTGTGTGTGTCTCGTTATGTCAGGTGTTGAATGTTTTTTCATTTCAGTTTTGTCATTGTGATTTATGAATATTACTTGAGTAGAGTGCGCCCGACAGTGATATAATGAACTGACTAAATGTTCTGTCTACTGTTTTTTTTTGTTATGATTATGAACAGTTACTGAGGAACACCGTGATACCTGAGGAACCCATGTTTAAACCTGAATATCCACCTCAAGGTGATTTCTTCTCCTCGTTTGTGAATTGATTCATGTCAATATGCAGTGGTTATGATAATGCAGATTAAGGTCTTAATGTATTTACGTGTATAAATTACAAGTGTTCTTATATGTTACCTGAATTCGAAGCTTGACTGCTAGTGATTCTTTGGAATAACTAGAATGGGATGGGAGGAATGAAATCATCTTAGAGAGAAATAATAGAAACTAGTGATTGTGTCAAATAATTTGCATTGCATTTGAAGAAGTATGCTTTATTACATGACACACTGCACGCTCTAATGTCTGTATCATAAATTCAGAAATGGAACCTGGTGTTGTTGTCCTTGACGAAAATGGGAGACCCGAAGATCGAGTCGAGTCTGCCTTGAAGTGTCTTCTACATTATGATCCTGCTGGATTCTGGGAAAATTCATCTTTACCCTTTCGGTACTGGAAAATACGTGACTATGCTTATGCTTATCGATCTAGAAAAGTAACCCCATCTATGGTAAGTAGCATTCAGTTGATGGGAACTCTGAATATACAATTGTCTATATTCTTAATTGTAAAATGAAACGACTTCAATTTGAATACATAGGTTGCTGAGCGTATCATCTCAAATATAGAGGAGAATGGAAGAAATAAACCTCCGACACCACTATTGATATCCTTTGATGCTGCAGAAATCCGGAAGCAGGCAACAGCATCTACTCAAAGGTTTGAAGCAGGTAATCCTGTATGATTCAAATGCTTAGATAGAAGTTACAGTGAAAATCTTTCACGCATGATGGGAATAGACATGGATAATTTACCCAAGTTACACTCTTGGACTTTGATTATGTAGGAAATTCATTATCGATATTGGATGGAATTTTCATGGCCATCAAAGATGACATAGACTGCTATCCTCATCCGTCTAAGGGTAAGTAAATCCCAGTATCTTACTTTGTGTGATTAATTAAAAAATAATAATTTTAAATTATCTTTTGGTGACGACAGGTGCAACTACGTGGATGCATGAGGTACGCACTATAAAGAAGGATGCTGTCTGTGTTTCAAGGCTGCGTAGCTGTGGTGTCATATTCATAGGGAAGGCAAATATGCATGAGTTTGGCATGGGAGCAACAGGAAATAATCCTAATTACGGGTAAGCTTATTTACATATTATTAGTTTGAATATTGACATTACTATCTACATAAAAAAAAGCTTTTGGCATGGAGAAACAAGAAAGGTGATCTCGGCTTGCTTTACCTGATTCGTATAGCCAACTCTCCATTCTTCCGAATTGGGAGACAAAGGTAATCAGGCAAAAATGTTAACAGATGTGTTCGTATGTATTCCCTTCGTCTGTTATTCAGCCTGTTGATCACAAGCTTAAGAACCATTATTGAAAGGTGCAAAATGTTATATGGCAAGGTGATAGGCACCCTCTCATAACTAAAGTGTATCACATATAGAAATGGAAGAGTAGCAGAAGATTGCACACTCATGCTTTCAATGAAGAGAGCATGAGTAAGAGAATCTGCCAACGTGGCAGGTGGGTCAGGGAAGGGAATCTGCTAGAGTAACAGGCTAAAAGGGAAGGAAGGGAGTGGGGAGGGGTAACTAAGGATTGAGTGTGAGATTAAATGTGAGATTATAGGTCTCTCAAATGACCTGTGTTGTCTTTTCTTCTTCTTTGTTTTCGGTAGTTTCTATCTGAGTTATTTGTAATTATTGGGTCTAATTCCCAAAGGGCAAATCCCTGTGCACAAGGTTCCTCGATTCTGAGAGTAAGGGTGATGGTTAATTGTATGCAGCCTTACCCTTGTACTTTTACAAAAAGGTTATTTTCCAGACTCGAACTCGTAACCTTCCTGTCAAAGAGCAACCTTACCGCTGCTCCAAGACTCGCCCTCAATTATTGGGTATGATTCCCAGAGTTTCTGTCATTTGAGAAGACCTTTCTATCACAAGTACTCGTGTCAAAAGCTTTTAGGAAATTGAAGGAAAATTTTCCTCACCATTAATTACAGGGAATCTTATATACCCTTCAACGCTGTTTTGATTTTCTCCCAATTTTCTTATGTTCATCAAAATCTAGCCTCCTTGATTATTCAACTGAATTTTCTTGAGTTGCAGAACTACAAGAAATCCTCATGCACCTGATAGGTATACCGGTGGATCTTCTTCAGGTCCAGCTGCAATTGTTGCTTCTGGACTCTGTTCTGCTGCACTGGGAACTGATGGTGGAGGTTGTGCAAACATAATGTGTCATACTAGTTTGCCTCCATTTTTGTTTGTACTGATTCTTATTTTTAAAATTTATGGAAAAGGGCAGGTTCAGTCCGAATTCCTTCTTCCCTTTGTGGTGTGGTGGGGTTGAAGACAACTTATGGGCGGACAAGCATGGAGGGGTAATTTCTCACGCTATGTGTTGGATCATTCACCAACAGTTCATTATATGTACTATTTGTTGATTTTTACTACATTGTAGGAACAATTATATAGTTTTTGATTCCTTTTCTATATCATCTGGGTCTGGATTGCCCATTTTCTATTATGGCTTTGAAATGAAATTACTATTAATTTTTTTTTCAGTACGTGTTTTTGTTTAAGAATCACATCAAAGACAAGAATCTGAGAAGTTTTGTAGAGGAAGAAGAAAGCTATGATTGAAAACTTAGTTGACAAGATGCAGAAGAAATTCCTTCAGTGCCCAAATTGAAGAAAGCTTGTCCGATTAGACCTTAAATATATGGGCCATATACCACTTGACTACAAGGGCCAGAATTGAATAATTAAATTTCTTAGTATGAGAATGCTTCTGTTTTACTCTTTAAGGTTATTATTCAATATACCATCACATGGCATTGGTTGGAAAGTAGGTCATCTAAAAGACTAAAACCTATGTGACTGGAGGCCTCCAGTTATTTGAGCTCGGTAGACGATGCTCCTTATTATATAGGGGAAGCAGCCTGGTCTTCTTAGTGGTGAAGGAACTTGTTACCTTTTTTTGTTTCGGATTTTTTTTCCTTTAATGGCAGTGCTGCCATTTATTGGCAGGCATTATTATGCAACACAGTTGTTGAGTTTCTTTGAATTTTGTTTTTGTTTCACATTCTTAACTCTAGTCTTAGGCATTGGTGGAAAATTGTTATCAAGTGTTTTGTGACTGTTGGTTCTACTTAGAGGGTTAGTAAATTTTTTACTATCTTGTAATAGCGCTGCAGGATGCATTTTCATGTTGCACTTACACAAAAAGGCCATATAAAATCATTCTATCTTCTCATTTAGATATACCTTTATAGTTTAGTAAACTTCAAAGGGAAACATGTCTGAATAGTACTTGTATGAAGTCTCCAAGAATTTTAACAATGTTATTTGTTATTTACCAGAACCAGAGTTTGTGATATTCAAATGGTTATAATTAAAGAAAAAATATATGTAGTTGCGTTAGAAAACAATTATAGTGCTTGACTAGCTAAATTTATTATATTTTGAACACAGTCAACGGACACATTGTTTTTCTTTATATTTTCAGGTCATTATGTGATTCTGGGACAGTGGATATTATTGGGCCTATTGCTTCAACGGTGGAGGATGTCATGCTAGTGTATGTAATGCATATTTCTCTCTTTTTCTTTCAGTCTTCCTTTTTCACTTACTTTTTTTTTTTTTTTGCTGTTTTACTTGACTGCTTTCTGTTTTGCATTACTCATAAGAAAAACCATTTTTCATTATTCCTCCATTAATTGGAAGCTTCTTTCTGAATTTGACTCACCCTGGTTTTGTTCAAGTTCTGTATTTTAACCAACTTCTATTCTTGACTTTTTAGTTTCAGAAGTGCTCCTACTTCTATTATTTTACATGCTAAAAGCTCAGGCAAGTGTCTTTTCCAAAGTATATCATTGTTAGATAATGCTTGATTTTTATTTGGTTCAAAATTCTCATGTATGTAGAAAAGTAGTGGTTATATTCATGTTAGTCATTCTCCGTGGAAAAATGAAAAAGATTTGTTACGGTACATTATTACAGCAGTGTAATAATTACAGTACATTATTAACCACTACCACATTATTAAGTACATTATCATCAACATCAACAACACTTTTTTTTTTTTTTTTTGGTAAGCACATCAACAACACTTTTATCCCAAATTATTACAGTAATGAAAATTAAATTAATTATCAGCTTTGATTCTTGTACAATACCTAAAGTAAATGATAACATCCTTGCTACTACTATCTTTATGGTTTGATACTCACGCCTTCTTTTGCATATTTGCTTTATTGTAACCTTTTAAAATTCTTTTACTTTGGGTGGAAAGTTTCCATGGGTGATAATTCCCATCATAATTATTTCTCATATGTGAGAAGCACCGCTGTTCCAGATAGAGCTTGTGTATTGAAAGTTCTCCTAACATTACTGGCTTCTGCTAACTATATGTATCTTTCATTAATGCTTGGCTTGAATGAGAGCTTCCTAAACTTCAATGCTCTTTACTAGCCTTTCAATTGAGCATATACTTGATTTCAAGAGTACATGTACATTCTGCAGTTGTAGTCGTTTTGTTGTCGTTTTGGTATAGCAATTCAATTCTTGATGTCAAGCACTAAAACCCTGGTCACAATGGTTTGCTTCTAGAAGATGTATAACGGAATATTCTTGTCCTAATAATTCAGGTATGCGGCAATGTTGGGTGCATCACCTGCAAATAGAGTCAGTTTGAAGCCGGTAATCTTTATTTATTTATTATTTTGGGTACAGAAACTGGTATTTTAATGCTTCAGTTGATATTCTTCTAAATAATAAGAAAAGCTTTGAGATTGAAAACTAAAATGTTGAAAAGTGGATATTATGGAATAATTCTACATAGCAGAAAAGCAGGCAGTCTTACAGTTATCTCAAATTAATTTGTGGTGGATAGCTACCGTATCATCAGTTGGGGGGAGTAGGAAACCGTATCATCAATTAGATAACATTTTCACTTATCACTGTTATGATTGAGCTTATGATAGACTTAATAGTTATGAATCTTATGATTGAGCTCCCGGGTTTTCTTAGAATGTTCATTTGGTAAGAGTCCTTTGATTTTGGATTTTTAAATCTTTCTTTTGGAGTTCTTTAATACATACTTGTGCTCTATACCTTTGTTGCCTTTTATTACGATTAGCATTTTATTTAAAACAAAAATATCTATTATAAAGCTTCCTAAGATAACATAGCTTTCATAGAGGCATCCATATTTAATGTTAAGGGGATTTTGATACTCTGGCAAGTTCATACTAGTATTCTTATTCTAGAATTCCAATATCAAATAACCTTCCAAGATACCGTTCGTCAAATATGATACACAGCATCTGCCCAGAAATGCTTGAGAACTTTCATGTGAAACAGAAGAGCTCATGCTATTTCTATAATATGACCGTTCCTTCGCTCACCCACCCTATTCTGTTTGGGGAGTGACCGTGCAAGACGATTAGTGGTGAATGATGCCATTATCAATCATGCATGAATAAAGAGTAGTTATTCTCATATTGTTAACTTTGTAATATAAGAACATGAAGATTGAACTATGTTTTATCTTCAGCACAAAACGCACTAAATAAAGGCAACTCTTCAGAGTAAATTTGCATTAAATAAAACCAAATAGTAATTGGAGAAATTTTTAACAGAAATTATCAACAAGAAAAATCAGGAATGGACTCTGGAACATGGACCTCAATAATTAAAACGGACCAACTAAAAGGGGATGCAACCCATTATTGACTCTAGGAGAATAGTTTACCCTCTGATATTTGGCAATTTATCAAGGCTTCCATTTGAAGACAGAAATAGACTTAAATGATTAGGGTATGGTACATAACACTAACGAAGCCATAGAAAAGTAAGCCTGCATACATATATTCTAACAACTCTTTGTACTGCTACTCTTTACAAATCAGAGGCTCTTTTAAACATCTAATACAATGCTATGGATGTGTATATGACAAAGACAAACTACTAAACCAACTCTTCTTATTCTATACTCTGTTCTCTATACAAAACTTTGCTATTCTTCTTTAGTGCGCATGATGTTTATATTTCTCTTGTAGTCACCACCTTGTTTGCCAACTCTATCATTCGATGAAGATTCAAATGCTTTGGGATCATTAAGAATAGGAAAGTACACCCCGGTAACCACCTATCCTTTAAAGATAGACTTTATGCGCAGAATAATATGATATGCGTTTTCTTAAATAATATATTTATTCTTGTGAAGTGGTTTAATGATGTGAATTCAACTGAAGTCTCTGATAAATGTGAGGATACTCTTAATCTGCTATCCAAGACACATGGTTGTGAAGTAAGTTCATCATATTATCATGTATTTAAATGATTGTTTTACACTTTATTTCTAGTTTAGCATGATAGATTCAAACAATGCTAAGTCGTATACTTTCTCTTATATTTGAAGATGATAGAAATTGTTATACCGGAGCTACATGAGATGCGAACTGCCCATGTTGTTTCCATTGGCTCTGAATGCTTATGTTCACTGAATCCTCATTGTGAAGAGGGGTATGTTTGAGTATATCGAAACTTAATGCTGGTAATTTCATTTTGTAGTCTAATTGCAACTAGGCAATATAGGTTATTTGCTAAAAGGCATCCTTCTCATCTGTTAATAAAAGTGGTTAATATTAGACATATGTTATCTTTGTCTGACCATTTATATGAGAAATTTATGTTAGTTTCCTCTACTTCTTTTCTTTCATAGGAGAGGTGTAAAATTGACATATGATACTCGTACAAATTTGGCACTTTTTCGGTCGTTTACAGCAGCAGATTATGTTGCAGCCCAATGTATTAGGTGAGACAAGAGTTTATAATAAATATACCAAACTTTCGTCCCTTTTATTTAAACATCTTTTACTGATGAGCTCTGAAAATCATATGGTACAATTTATAGAAATAATTACTACCATAGATTATCTAATGTAAACCGTACAAAAAAAATATTGCGTATGTAGCTTTTAGTTTTTTGGTAGTTGTGCATGTAGCTTTTAAAGTTTATTTTATATGTTTCAGACGAAGGATTATGCATTACCACATGGAGATTTTCAAGAAAGTGGATGTTATAGTGACTCCAACAACCGGGTATGTATGTATAATGAATATTTGTGGTAGAAATACACCTCAGTGTAACGGACCCTTTACTGTGCAAAATTTCTTTTATAATTATTTGACAGGATTGGAAATTAATTTTACAACTCTGGATAACAATATATATGTTTTTTGGCATTTGTTAATAGTTCATTGGTATTAAGACTACCATATTATCATTATAGCAATAGATATCTACTTTGCTCATGCACCATCTAGCCAAGAAAGAAAAGATGAAAAGAGAAACTGATAAAATAAGATCATATGATTTGTCTTTGGTCAGCTCGGAATGCGGCTGCTTTTGCAGGATAGTTTTGGGGAAGGTGGGACTGAAAAACAAGTGTCATTGATATGGAAACATATGTTTACAGAATTCAATCACATCTTATTTTGGAAGGTTTTGTTGTTGCTAGAATAATTGACTGCCAGCTGAACTGCTTTTGTTTGTAACAGCATGACAGCACCCAGAATACCTCCTAGTGCTCTTCAAAGTGGTGAAACGGATTTGCAGACCACAGGTGATTGGCTTCACCTTTCAGTTGCAGCTTCGGGATATTTTTCTTCCATAATACTTTGCAATGCAGCATTGTAGTTAACATAACATATGAGATCACCTATTATTACTCGTGCACTGATAATATAACGGACGAGTATAACCTATAAGGTTTGTCATCACGAGTTAAGTGAACTTGTATGTTGATATTACTTAATTGTCTCTAGACTTTAGGTCAACGAAAGAGCCAAGTTAAAATTTGCCCCTACAATATAGCCGTAAGATTCTGAATCCAGAATCTTTTTGTCATGACTGACAGAATTTTAAAGTGTCATAATTTTGGTGGCAATTATATATACTGAACATTGTGGTATTCCATTCAAACAATCCTTAGCACAACACATCTTGAAAATTTTCGTATTGGATGCATATTATGAGACTGGTATCTTGACTCATTTTACCTTAGAACATAATAATTCATGACTGACCTAAACTAAAATGCCATGATTACGACAACTCACTGCCTAATATATAAAAACTTGCTTCATCCCACGTATGTTAACTTGAAGCTTGTTGCTCAGGTTACCTTATGCGATTCAATGTTGCGGCAAATCTTCTGGGACTCCCTGCCATTTCTGTCCCGGTGAGTGAGAGTGCAATGAATCACTCAAGAAGAGTATAGTGTTTATTATTTTGGTCTGAAGAGTTCTTTGAATTAAATGACCATAATTATTGCTAACAGCAGCATCATATTCTGTTTATTCCTTTTAATCAAATTTTCCGTGTATAGGTCGGCTACGATAAAGAAGGACTTCCAATAGGTTTGCAACTAATAGGTCGACCATGGGCGGAAGCTACTATTCTGCGCATAGCATCTGCAGTAGAGGTACGCATATTGTCATGCATAAATATATGAAGTGCTAATACTGCCCATGCATTCCCGCGCATATTGTTATTTATTTATTTTATTGGAAAAGTTCTACCTAATTTATTCAGAAACTCTGCGGTGAGCGTGAGCCAAAGAAAAAGCCTGTGTCGTACTATGATGTTCTGCGGACCATCTGATGCTAAGATTTTCTAGTTGGTTATGGCTGATCAAAGGCTGAAGCCTTCGCTGTGTATTATTTGTGTATCTTATCCATTTAGCAAATTGTGTGTGTTTCATCCTCGGGGCATCATTTCTCAAAAAGGAAATATGGCTTGAATAGTTATTCGGAAATAATTTCTGCAAATAAGAATTGTAATAATTTAACGACAGAATTAAACATTATATATGAAATATGAAAAAAAAATCAAGATCATGTGCTAGAGAATGTTCAGCATTGCTCTTTAAGATTGTACAATTTTTTATCCGCAGAAATAAATAGCATATTTGATGAGGTTCCACACTTCCACCCATTACTTTTCATTAAGCGAAATACAGAGTAATATTTTCCAATTTGTGTTTAGATGTAATCCACTATAAATGTAAAATGTTTCTAACTAAAAATAAACAGGAATATCATGTCACTAAAAATTGTAATAACTGAGGTTCTTGTACGGTTACCATCCAGGCATATGAGATTTCCCACCCCACAAGGGGATACTTCGACAAATGTTTGAAATAATCATGTTAGATTTCCGGAGAGTCGTGATGAGAATATCTAACAAACCCTATTTCTCAGGGTTCTCATCCGCAACATCACAAGAGCTCCATCTCTGAATGTAACTTGCCTGGATAATTAATTAGTGGTTGATGCATCCAATCCTTTCACACTACAGGATAAGAATAAATGGCAGATCATAAAAAATCCTGATCGAGTTGAAAGAAGGCTCTTAAATTGTTTAGGTTGTATTCATAAACTCACCTATCAGCTATGACCACGGAGCGAAGCTCACAGTTGGCAAAGCTGCAAGGATACGTGAAACTAGTCAATTACAAAAGACCTTTACCTAACACCTTACAATTTTGAGTTGAAACTGCTGCACACAAAACTGATGAGGAATAAATTGAATTATGTATTCCACGAAGAAAACAAGCTATTTTCAAAATCATAATAATAATGCATATTCAACTCTGTTAGCTCAAAAAGACGTGAATCACAAATAACTACATGTAAGATGTCGGCGAGCTTACTGCTTGGATATTTCCTTCTTCCCCAAGGAACGGTAATCATTTCCACATGCACTTAGCGTATGAAACAAAAATGCTCTATGCGTCACTATTGCTATCTCCTTCTCTTTCCGTGATCACAAACTGTGATTAAGTGAAAAATCAAAAGAGCCTCGAATGATACCACATTTGATCGCAATTTACAGTTACTTATATAAAAGTAATGGAAAAAGTTGCACGAAAAAAGAAGAAGAAAATGAGAATTTTATTTTTTTAACAAAAAATTACATAAATCTTTAACTACTGATAATCACTAGATATCTAAATTAACATACCATATTATAATATACTGGTTCGAATAATCATTAAAGAGCAATCGGCATGCTGTTATCTATTCCCGTAATAAAATAAATCCCTTAAACTAAAATGATTAATATTTTAAAGAGAATTATGAATCTCTTATTCTAGGAGAGATGGTGTCTCATTTGTAGACATAAAAGCTTGGCACGGGTTTCGATTTGTTTGTAGAAGAGGAAAAATTATTCTTACAACACTATTCCTCTTTATTTTAAAACGGTGAGATTAACGAGTATGGAGAGATAAGATTTTTTTTACATACCTATTTTAAGTATGGTAAAAGATATTGTAACAATTAAGTTGTGTTATTATCAAGTTATTATCAATTAATCTTACCGTTAGATCGATTATGTTAATCCAACGGTTATATTTATTTTCATCTTTGTATGGTTATGATTTTCTATATTTAAAGTGAAAGCATTAAATATGAAAAATCATAACCATACAAATGTGGAAATAAATATAAAGTATTAAATTTGAGAAATTATGACATACAAAGATGAAAATAAATATAACCGTTGGATCAACATAATCAATCTATCAGTGAGATTGATTGGTAGTAACATGATAGTAACACAACTTGGTTGTTACAATATTCTTCCCTTTTAATTATATCTCAACAAATTTTAATTTTTTAAGTTGGTTATGAAATTAATATCGAGTCTTCATCTTTTCCTGTCTTCAAAAATATACTTGATAGGAATTGACCAGTCGTTCTTTTTCCATTTTACTCAACCTAATATTATCAATTATATTCATTTGCTTTGGATTTGACCTTATTTGAATACAATTTATAAAAATGATTTTTTGATTTCAGAAAAAATAAAAAAAATTTAATAAGACATGTTTTGTAAAATAAAAGTTTTAAAAATTATCATTTTTTAAAATCAAATTTAAAAGACATATTTGATTTATTTTTATTTTGTGTGTTTTCTTAGGAGAAGATATATTTACTATCAAAAAAATTTATTACCTTTACAATCAACTTGATTTTTGTCAATTTAGCAGTTATAATTTATTAGATTTATTAAGAATTAATTAATAAATACAACTCAATAATATTTAATAAATTATAAGTCTTAGATTAACGAAAATCAACAATCATTCAGTTAGTTGTAAACGTGGTAAATTTTTTTTTTGGCGATATCCTTCGCTGTTTTCTTAATTATTTAATAAAACAATTTTAAAGAAAAAAAAATTCAGGACAAAGTCAAACACAAGATTTGACTGCAGTGAAGGTGAGAGATAGAGTTAAGCTGATTCAGTAGCCGGAAGCAGCTTTGAAAATGTCGAAGTGCTTTGCGATGCGTGCAATTATTAAACATCATTGCCAATTGGTCACAATGTCAATGAGAATGACAGGGCCAGACGCACCGTATTGTTGATGCTTCCGCACTTACCAACAAACAAAACGGTTATAAGCATTTATCTCTTCTTCTTCCCTCAGCTCTCACAACAACAACACCACCAACACTCAGATCAGAGATTTCTCCTGCTAGGTTTGTGCTCTGCAACTTAAACAACTTTCAACTTCTTTTCGCTTTTGCATATTCTTCTTCGTGAATCGTTAATTGATGCAATTCGAATTTGTTTGTTTTTTTCATTGGATTCAAATCGGAACCGAAAAGAAAGTCTTGTGTGTGTTTTGTGATCTTTGAAGATGGGGAAAAAGCGTGTAATGGTGCCGGCCAAGGACGTTGACTTGTCCTCCATCAAATACGAACCTCAAATTGTCCAAGGTAATTCCACTCACTTGTTTCTTCTGTAACCAAAATTCACTCAACTTGGAATTTCCAGTTTATACTAGTAATATTTGATTATATTTTATTGTTTTACTTTTTTTTTTTTTTTTTTTTTTTGCAGCTCCGCATTTGACTGGCTTTATGTTTAGATTGTTTGTGAAGATACTAGAAACTCCACTCATAGGTCCTCTCATTGTGAATTCTTTGAAGAAGGAAAATAAATTTAATGAGGTGTGTGAGTGTGTGTGTCTCATTATGTCAGGTGTTGAAGGTTTTTTCATTTCAGTTTTTGCATTGTGATTTATGAATATTACTCGAGTAGAGTGCGCCCGACAGTGATATAATGAACTGACTAAATGTTCTGTCTACTGTTTTTTTTTTTTTTTGTTATGATTATGAACAGTTACTGCGGAACACCGTGATACCTGAGGAACCCATGTTTAAACCTGAATATCCACCTCAAGGTGGTTTCTTCTCTGCGTTTGTGAATTGATTCATGTCAATATGCAGTGGTTATGATAATGCAGATTGATTATTTTCTTTTGTTTATTTAACTTTATAAGGCCTTTATAAATTTACATGTATACATTACAAGTGTTCTTATATGTTACCTGAATTTGAAGCTTGACTGCTAGTGATTCTTTGGAATAACTAGAATGGGATGGGAGGAATGAAATCATGTTAGAGAGAGATAATGGAGACTAGTTATTGTGTCAAATAATTTGCATTGCATTCTAAGAAGTATGCTTTATTACATGACACACTCTGCACTCTAATGTCTGTATCATAAATTCAGAAATGGAACCTGGTGTTATTGTCCTTGACGAAAATGGGAGACCCGAAGACCGAGTTGAGTCTGCCTTGAAGTGTCTTCCACATTATGATCCTGCTGGATTCTGGGAAAATTCATCTGTACCCTTTCGGTACTGGAAAATACGTGACTATGCTTATGCTTATCGATCTAGAAAAGTAACCCCATCTATGGTAAGTGGCATTCAGTTGGTAGGAACTCTTGAGTATAGAATTGTCTTTATTCTTAATTGTAAAATGAAACGACTTCAACTTGAATACATAGGTTGCTGAGCGCATCATCTCTATTATAGAGGAGAATGGAATAAATAAACCTCCGACACCACTATTGATATCCTTTGATGCTGCAGAAATCCGGAAGCAGGCAACAGAATCTACTCAAAGGTTTGAAGCAGGTAATCCTGTATGATTCAAATGCTTAGATAGATGTACAGTGAAAATGTTTCACGCATGATTATATTGAGATATGATGGAATAGACATGGATAATTTACCCAAGTTACACTCTTGGACATTGATTATGTAGGAAATTCGTTATCTATATTGGATGGAATTTTCATGGCCATCAAAGATGACATAGACTGCTATCCTCATCCGTCTAAGGGTAAGTAAATCCTAGTATCTTACTTTGTGTGATTAATTAAAAAAAACTTTAAATTATCTTTGGTGATGACAGGTGCAACTACATGGATGCATGAGGCACGCACTGTAAAGAAGGATGCTGTCTGTGTTTCAAGGCTGCGTAGCTGTGGTGTCATATTCATAGGGAAGGCAAATATGCATGAGTTTGGCATGGGTACAACAGGAAATAATCCTAATTACGGGTAAGCTTATTTATATATGGTTGGTTTAAATATTCACATTACTATCAACATAAAAAAGAAAAAAAGCTTTTGGCATGGAGAAATAGGAAAGGTGATATCGGCTTTGCTTTACCTGATACATCCACTCTCCTTTCTTCCGAATTGGGAATCAAAAGTAATCTAGCAAAAATGTTAACAGATGTGTTTGTATTTTCATTCCCTTTGTATTCCCTTCACTCTGTTATTCATCTTGTCGATCACAAGCTTAAGAACCATTATTGAAAGTGTAGAAAATCAGGATTAGAAATTTTCGGTTTTTATTTGGGATACAATCATATCCCTGATTTATAGCACCTATTAATTAGAGATTTATTTTCTGTTAACAGGGATTTGAATTTGTTTTCATTTTTTATTCATTTACTCTTGTATATAAATCCCCTATCAATGTAAATCAAATTGTATCAATTCAGAAAATCCTTTTTTTTTCATATTTCAATATGGTATTAGAGTCTGGTTCGTTCCTCCCCTAGATCAGCCACCTCTAGGCTGAAACTAACATTCCCATACCCAAAAAACAGAATCCAACCTATGCCAATCGAGAAGGTGGCTTGACCATTCAACTCAGAAAGTTTCGATTAGTCGTCTACCGCTGGACCAACTCTCGCCTGATTGCCCACGCGCAGTCACACGCGCAGCCCTTCTCCGTGGGTGGGGTCCACGTGCCATTTTCCCGACTGCTTTTTTCGCTGCTACTTGCCCAGAACCACTCGTTGGCTCCTCCTCTACTTGTTCCAGGGTTAGGCTTGCCAACAGAACTACTTCATTTTTTTGAATCCACGGTCAAATCCTCTCTCTTTGGTCATGGCTTCCTCATTCTGTTCTCATTCTTCCCCATCTTCCCCCAATACTCAGTCCTCTGGAGACAACTTAGCCATGCAGATCACTAGTCACTAGTTGAATGGTAAGAATTTCCTACAATGGTTTCAGCCTGATAAGTTGGTCATCCGGGAAAAAGGTAAGATCGGTTATCTCGACGGTAAGACAAAACAACCTGCCAAGGATACTCTTGCTTATGAAGATTGGGAGATTAACAACTCCTTGGTAATGGCGTGGCTGATCAATTCCATGGAACCCCAAATCAGCCGAACCTGAACCTATTTGTTTCTCGCCACCGCTAAAGAGGTTTGGGATGCTAGTCAGCGAAATTACTTTGATCTGCAGAATACCTCTCAAGTATTTGAATTAAAAAATAAGTTGAAGGACCTTTGTCAAGGAGGTATGACCATCCTGAACTAACAAATTTGTGGCAGGAACGCGACCTTTATTATCCGACCTCAAAGGATTGGAAGCTGATGCCCAGTTTAAAAAACAATTTAAGAAGGAACGACTTTATGACTTTTTTGCTGGCCTGAACCGAGATCTTGATGAGGTTCGTGGTCGAATATTGGGTCAGTAACCGTTACCCTCACTCGCTAATGCTTTTGCTGAGGTTCGGAGAGAAGCCAGTTGATGGAGAGTTATGCTGGGGGGAAAGGAATCCATTGATGTGACTAAGTCTAGTGATATGTCTGCCCTGGCTGCTAAACATATTGTTGATTGTTCCTCTGGCGAATAGAAACGGGATGTTAACCGTTCTTATGGAGAATCGAAACGGGATGGTCGTCTGTGGAGCTCACACTGTAATAAAGGTGGTCACTTGTGAGAAGTGTTGGAAAATATATGGCAAACTTGCAAATTGGAATCTTAGAGAGCAGCATAAAGGCCATGCATATCAAGTCTCTACTGATGACAAGGTTGATGAGCCTCGTGCCTCTACTAACTCTGATGGAATGTTTCTCAGCAAGACTCAATTCGAACAACTTCAGAAAGGCCATATTAATGTGGCTCAGCAAGGTACAGCCTTCCATGTTGACAACTAAACTCGTTGGATTCTTGATTCTGGGCCTTTGACCATATGACAGGTAATCCAACCTTTTTTTGTTCTTACACTCCACACACTGATCCCTCTCGAGTCAAGATCGCCGATTATAGTTTCTCCAAGATTGTTGGGCACGGAACCATTAAACTTTCCGAGCAGATTCATTTAACATCAGTTCTTCATGTTCCTTCTCTGGCTTGCAATCTCATTTCCATTAGCAAGTTGACTTTGAGTTGCATTGTTTTGCTAAATTCTTTGCATATGCTGTGTTTTTCCGGAGCAGGAGTCGGAGAGGATGATTGGCAGTGCTAGAGTAGATGACGAACTTTATTACTTTGAGGAGAGTGTGACTCACGAGGCTGGCTTCGTGGAAAACAATTATATGTTTCCTTTTGATTCTTGTAATGATGTTATGTTGTGGCACCGTAGGACCACCCCAATGTTACCTATCTTCATTAATAAAAGTCCTAGTTTGTTTTCTTGTGATATTTGTCAACTTGCCAAGCATACTCATGTTCATTATCCCTCTAGAGCTCACCATGACTCTTCCCCATTTACTTTGATTCATAGTGACATATGGGGCCCAGTCCGGATAAAGAATATTTCAGATGCTCGATGGTTCATTACCTTCATTGATGACCACTCCCAGGTTTGTTGGGTATACCTTCTGAAGGATAAGTCCGATGCTGCATCCATTTTCAAAAAATTTCATGCCATAGTTCAAATCCAATTCCAAGTTGCTATACAAATTCTTCGCACAAACAATGGCAAAGAGTACTTTAACTCTATTCTTGGGGAATATCTCTCTCAACATGGCATTTTTCATCAAAGCTCATGTCCTGACTCACCCTAACAAAATGGAGTCGCTGAAAGAAAAAACCGACATCTTCTTAAAGTTGCTCGATCTCTTATGTTTACTATGAATGTTCCTACATACTTTTAGGGGGAAGCTGTCCTCACTGCCTCGTACCTTATAAATCGAATGTCATCCCGTACTCTCAACTTTCAATCTCCTATTTCTAGCCTTTTCCGCACCTTCCCCTCCTTCAAGGGCATCTCCCCCTACCTCCTAATTTGTTTGGCTATGTCGTGTTTGTCCATATTCCCTCTCATCAACGGTCAAAGCTTGATCCTAAGTCTCTCCGGTGTGTCTTCATTGGTTATTCTCCTACTTAACGGGGTTATAAGTGTTATTCATCCTCCCTTTGTAAGCTCTTTGTCTCTATGGATGTCACTTTTTTTGAGACCTAACCCTTTTTTCTCCTGACTTCTCTCAGGGAGAGCCTATAGAAGTAAATGAAGATCAATCATGGGAACCTACTGTTACCTCTACTATTGGAGACAGGGGGAGCTACAGAGACAGGAAGAGCCACCTCAAAGTGGGGACAAGTTTATAGCAGGCAAAAGCTTCATCAAAGTGTGAATAGCCCAAAGGCTCTATATTGCCAAGATTTTGAACCGAGTTCTAGTTCCAGCACCCCGCCACTTGAGTGCCATGACACAATGATCTACACTTGCTCATTGCTCTTAGAAAAGATACTCGATCTTGTACTGCTCATCCTATTTCTAACCATATTTGATATGCAAAGTTGTCCTTAGGGTTTCGTGCTTTCAACTCTACGTTGGATAGTACAAAAATACCAAGAAATATACATGAGACCCTCAATGATCCAAAATGGAGGGATGTTGTCTTTGAAGAAATGAATGTACTAGAAAGAAATGGAACTTGGGAGACAGTGACCTTGCCAGAAGGAAAATGGGTAGTAGAATGCAAATGGGTGTTTACAAAAAATTCAATGAAGATAATAGCATCAACAGATACAGGGCAAGATTGGTTGCGAAGGGGTTCACCCAGACTCATGGGATAGATTATCATGAGACTTTTGCTCCAATTGCCAAGGTTAATACCATTCGAGTTCTCTTGTCTCTTGCTGCCAACCTAGATTGGCCTCTGCAATAGTTAAATGTGAAGAATGAATTCCTAAATGGCAATTTACATGAGGAAGTCTATATGGGTTCTCCACTTGGCTTTGAAAAAGGAGATGGATCGGTGTGTAAACTGAAGAAGTCTCTCTATAGGTTGAAACAATTCCCTAGAGAATGGTTCGACAAATTCACGCAAGCTGTCAAAAGAAGAGGTTTCATCCAAGCACAAACACATCACATTCTCTTCCACAACACTCTAAGGATGGTAAAATCGCTATTCTTATTGTTTATGAGGATGATATAGTTCTTACAGGTGACGATAGTGAGGAATTGAATTCCTTGAAAGAGTATCTAGCAGCTTAGTTCGAGCTAAAGGACCTTGGAGTTATTAAATATTTCTTTGGTGTGGAAATTGCTCGGAGTAAAGCAGGCATCACTCCACTCAAAAAAAGTTTGTTCTAGATCTTTTGCTAAAAACAGGAATGTTAGGATGTAAGCCTACCGAGACACTTATGGAGCCTAACACTAAGTTAGATATTGAAGATGGGAACGAGGTGGACAAAGGGAACTATCATAGACTGGTTGGCAAACTAATCTACTTATCCCACACACGACCTGACATTGCCTTTGCTGTGAGTATGGTCAATTCATGCACTCACCCAAGGAGAAACATTTAAATACAGTCTATAAGGTGCTCAGATACCTCAAGAACACCCCAGACAGAGGACTATTATTTAGAAAAGGGTATAATAGGACGATTGAAATCTACACTGATGCAGATTGGGCAGGTTCATCAGTTGACAGAAGATCTACCTCAGGCTACTGCACTTATATGTGGGGAAATCTATTGACTTGGAAAAGAAAAAAAAAAAAAAAAAAAAAACAGTGGTCGCAAGAAGCAGTAGCCCATGGAGTCTGTGAAGGAATTTGGTTGAGAAGACTTCTTGAAGAGTTAAAGATCTCATATTCCCTACAAATAAAATTATATTGTGACAACAAGGCAGCTGTCAGCATTGCTCAAAATCTTGTTCACCGTGATCGAGCAAAGCATATGGAAGTTGATCGCCAATTCATCAAAGAAAAATTAGATGATGGAAGCGTGTGTATGATATATATTCCTACCAAAGAGCAAACTGCAAATATCCTCACAAAGGGCCTATACCGACCAACCTTTGAAAATCTGATTGGTAAGTTGGGAATGATTATCATTTACCCCCAACTTGAGGGGTAGTGTAGAAAATCAGGAATATAATCTTTCTGTTTTTATTTAGGATTCAATCATATCCTGATTTATAGCGCCTATTAATTAGAGATTTATTTTTCTGTTAATAGGGATTTAAATTTGCTTCTATTTTTTATTCATTTACTCTTGTATATATATCCTCTGTCAGTAAATCAAATTGTATCAATTCAGAAAAACCTTTTTTTCATATTTCAATAGAAAGGTACAAAATGTTATATGGCAAGGTGTTATGCACCCTCTCATAACTAAGGTTTATCACATATAGAAATGGAGTAGCAGGGGATTGCACACTCATGTTTTCAATGAAGAGTGCATGAGTAAGAGAATCTGCCAACGTGGCAGGTGGGTCAGGGAAGGGAATCTGCTAGAGTAACAGTTTAAAAGGAAAAGAAAGAGTGGGGATGGGTAACCAAGGATTGAGTGTGGGATTAGATGTGAGATTACAAGTCTCTCAAATGACCTGTGTTGTCTTTTATTCTTCTTTGTTTTCTAGAATTTCTATCTGAGTTACTGTAATTATTGGGTCTGACGGAGGGTAAATCTCAGTGCACATGGCTCCTTGACTTGTGAGGGTAGGGTGAGGGTCGATTGTATCCAGCATTTTCCTTGTATTTGTACAAAGAGGTTGTTTTCTATACTCGAACTCATGACTTTCTACTCAAAGAACGACTTTACTGCTGCTCCAAGGTCTGCCTTTGATTACTAGGTCTAATTCCCAGTTTCTGTAATTTGAGAAGAACTTTCTATCATAAGGACTTGTGTCAAAAGATTTTAAGAAATTAAAGGAAAATTTTCCTCACCGTTAATTACTGCAAATCTTATATACCCTTCAACACTGTTTTGATTCTCTCCCAATGTTCTTATGATCATCAAAATGTAGCTTCATTGATTATTCAACTGAATTTTCTTGAGTTGCAGAACTACAAGAAATCCTCATGCACCTGATAGGTATACCGGTGGATCTTCTTCAGGTCCAGCTGCAATTGTTGCTTCTGGACTCTGTTCTGCTGCACTGGGAACTGATGGTGGAGGTTGTGCAAACATAATGTGTCATACTAGTTTGCCTCCATTTTTGTTTGTACTGATTCTTATTTTTAAAATTTATGGAGAAGGGCAGGTTCAGTCCGAATTCCTTCTTCCCTTTGCGGTGTGGTTGGATTGAAGACAACTTATGGGCGGACAAGCATGGAGGGGTAATTTCTCACACTATGTGTTGGAGCATTAACCAACAGCTCTTTATATGTTCTATTTGTTGATTTTTACCACATTGTAGGAACAATTATAGTTTTTGATTCCTTTTCTCATCCGGTGTCTGGATTGCCCATTTTCTATTATGGCTTTGAAATGAAATTACTATTAATTTATTTTTTCAGTAAGTGTTTTTGCTTAAGAATCACATCAAAGACAAGAATTTGAGAAGGTTTATAAACGAAGAAGAAAGCTGTGATTGAAAACTTAGTTGACAAGATGTTGAAGAAATACCTCCAGTGCCCTAATTGAAGAAAACTTGTCCCATTAGACCTTAAATATATGGGCCAAATACGACTTGATTACAAGGGCCAGAATTCAATAATTAAATTTGTTAGGATGAAAATGCTTCTTTTTTAATCTTTAAGGTTATTATTCAATATACCATCGCATTGCATTGATTGGAAAGTAGGTCACTTTTAATCAGTTAATCTAAAAGACTAAAACCTAAGTGATTGGAGGCTTCCAGTTATTTGAGCTTAGTAGACGATGCTCCTTATTATATAGGGGAAACAGCCTGGTCTTCTTAGCGGTGAAGGAACTTAAGTTTCCTTTTTTTGTTTCAGATTTTTTTCCTATAATGGCAGTGCTGCCGTTTATTGTCAGGCATTATTATGCAACTCAGTTGTTGAGTTTCTTCAAATTTTGTTTTTGTTTCACATTCTTGACTTTAGTCTTAGGCATTGGTGGAGAATAGTTATCAAGTGTTTTGTGACTGTTGGTTCTACGGGATATTAAATGGAAAGAACCCATTCAACCCAAAAGCTTAAACTATTAGGTAAGGCTATATTAATGATTTTTTATATATCTCTAATACGTTCCCTCACATGAGAGCCCATTGAGCTTGAAGGATGGATGATGTATCAGACTCAATCTACCTGTACTAAGAAACTAAACAAAACTTAATTAATTATTAATTAAATAGGAGACGGTGAGGATCAAAGAGGCTTTGATACCATGTAAAGAAACAATTTAACCTAAAAGCTTAAACTATTAGGTGAGGCTACATTAATGATTTTTTACATATCTCTAACAGTAAAAATTTTAACTATCTTGTAAAAACGCTGCAGGATGCATTTTCATGTTGCACTTACACAAAACGGCCGTATAAAATCATTTTATCTTCTCATTTAGATATAACTTTATAGTTTAGTAAATTTCAAAAGGCAACATGTCTGAATAGTACTTGTATGAAGTCTCCAAGAATTTTAACAATATCATTTGTTATGTACCAGAGTTTGTGATATTCAAATGGTTATAATTAAAGAAAAAATATATGAATTCTGTATGTAGTTGCGTTAGAAAACAATTATAGTGCTTGACTAGCTAAATTTATTATATTTGGAACACGGTCAACGGACACATTGATTTTGTTTATATTTTCAGGTCATTATGTGATTCTGGGACAGTGGAAATTATTGGACCCATTGCTTCAACGTTGGAGGATGTCATGCTAGTGTATGCATCTTATATTTCTCTCTTTCTCTTTCAGTCTTCCTTTTTAACTTACTCTTTTCTTTTACTTGACTGTTTTCTACTTTGCATTACTCAAAAGAAAAACCATTTTTCATCATTCCTCCGCTAATTGGAAGCTTCTTTTTGAATTTGACTCGTCCTGGTTTTGTTCTAGTTCTGTATTTTAATCAACTTCTATTCTTGATTTTTTAGTTTCAGAATTGCTCCTACATCTATTGTTTTACATGCTAAAAGCTTAGGCAAGTGTCTTTTCCAAAGTATGTCGTTGATATATAATGCTTGATTTTTATTGGGTTCAAAATTTTCATTGTGCTGTACGAGTCTCATGTATGTAGAGGTTTTATTTGAGATTTTCAGTAAAGGTAAAAAGTTTGTTTGGTAAATTGGTTATTAGAATCTAATAGATAGTCAGAACTCACAACCAAGATAAATAAACGCTCCCAAATTATTACAGTAAATCAACATCAACACCACTTTTATTTCAAATTATTACATTAACGAAAACTAAATTAGTTATCAGCTTTAATTCTTGTACAATACCTAAAGTAAATGATAACATCATTGCTACTACTATCTTCATGGTTTGCTACTCACACTTCTTTTGCATATTTGCTTTATTGTAACCTATTAGAATTCTTTTACTTCGGGTGGAAAGTTTCCATGGGTGATAATTCCCATCATAATTATTGCATGTGTGAGAAGCGCTGCTGCTCCAGAAAGAGCTTGCGCATTGAAAGTTCTCCTTAACATTACTGACTTCTGCTAACTAAATGTATTTTTTGTTAATGCATGGCTTGAGTGAGAGCTTCCTAAACTTCGATGCTCTTTACTAGCCTTTCAATTGGACATATACTTGATTTCAAGAGTACATATACATGTCTGCAGTTCTAGTCGTTTGGCATAGCAATTCAATTCTTGATGTCAAGCACTAAAACCCTGGTCACAATGATTTGCTTCTAGAAGATGTATAACAGAATTTTCTTGTCCTAATAATTCAGGTATGCGGCAATGTTGGGTGCATCACCTGCAAATAGAATCAGTTTGAAGCCGGTAATCTTTATTTATTTATTTGGTACAGAAACTGGTATTTTAATGCTTCAGTTGATATCCTTCTAAATAATAATAAAAGCTTTGAGATTGAAAACTAAAATATGGAAAAGTAGATATTATGGAATAATTGTGCATAGCAGAAAAGCAGGCAGTCTTACAGTTATCTCAAATTAATTTGTGGTGGATAGCTACCGTATCATCAAAATAAAATTGGGGAGTAGGAAGAAAACAGATAACACTTTCACATATCACTATTACGATTGAGCTTATGAGAGACTTAAAAGTTATTATTGAGCTCCCGGGTTTTCTTAGAATGTTCATTTGGTAAGAGTCTTTTGATTTTGGATTTTTAAATCTTTCTTTTGGAGTTCTTTAATACAATACTTGTGCTCTGTACCTTTGTTGCCTTTTATTATGATTAGCATTTAATTTAAAACAAAAATATCTATTATAAAGCATCCTAAGGTAGCATTGCTTTTATAGAGGCATCCATATTTAATTTTAAGGGGATTTTGATACTCTGGCAAGTTCATACCAGTATTCGAGAATTTCAATATCAAATAACCTTCCAAGACACCGTTCATCAAATATCATGCTGTAGACACAACATCTGCCCAGAAATGTTTGAGAACTTTCAAGTGAAACAGAAGAGCTCATGCTATTTCTATAATATGACTGTTCCTTCGCTCACCCACCCTATTCTGTTGTGGAGTGACCGTGCAAGAGGATTGGTGGTGAATGATTCCATTATCAATCATTGATGAGACCTTGAGATGCACCACCCCAAAAGCTAGCTCAAAGGGTGAGAGTGCCCAAGGTCTTATAAACCCCATATTAGTTGCCCATACAACCAATGTGGGACTCCAAATCTCATACTTTGCAAATAGAACCCCAACATTCCACCATGCTTCCCTAGTGCGTGCCCCCACGCACAACTCCACGTGATGGATGCTCTGATACCATTTGATGAGACATTTAGATGCACTACCCCAAAAGCTAGCTCAAAGGGTGAGAGTGCCCAAGGCCTTATAAACCCCACATTAGTTGTCCATACAAT